TATTTCTGCAATATAAAATCAACTCAGCAAGAAGCAACTGAGACATCTTGTTTCTGAAGACCTGTTTAGTACATTAACCTGGACTAAGGGGCACGAGTAATAATAGCAACAAAACACAATCCGTTCATTCATTCCCTTTTTTTCCACATGACTTCATTCCTCAACTAGCCAGCACCAAGGCAGACACAGACAGAGGCAAAAGCAGTAGAATTCAGTTCAGGTCAAGTCTTGAGACTTTAACTCCTCTAGTTCAGCAGCTCGAGGTCTGAGTCCTGACACAGTGACCTGAAACGCTGCTCTCCCTTGATAAACTTCAGTCTGGGATGTTGTACATGCCACCATCAAAAAATAGTCTACAATCAAGCTCTAATCCATCAGCCTCCCTGAATCTGTGGGATTACTGTGGGCAGCTTGATATTGTACGGTTTACTACCTCAGCATCTTTACAGATTATTTTGCTTTTGAAAATACATGTTCTGGGCATTAACTATCCTTTAAATGGCAACGAAATGCATGTTACCTAAGGGCATGGTTGGGTTTTAACATTTAAATACAGCTATGGATTTTTGTCTGAGATGGAAATAGAATTTGGGGCAAAAACAACCCACCCATATGCACTCATCCAAATTCTGTCCAGCCGAACAGTCTGACGGACCGACTACAAAGTGTTCCTTCATGACCATGACAAAGCATACAGTGTTTTGGGTCTCCTGCATGGAATGAGTCATTTAAAAGCTGAAATACATGCGGTCTACAACAGTGCCCGATATTACATGCAAACGACACCATAGGGTGCTGGTAACTTCACAGTATGGGGTCTGGAATGGGGGCACACAAATTTGATCACATGTAGAGACAACCTGTGAACTGAAAAGTCACTGAGAGAACCCTTTGAACAATATGCCCTTAAGCAAAGCACTCAACTAGTGTTAAATTGCTTTGGATGACTAATTTAGGCTCAACAGCTAATTGAATGCTTACTAATGCAGAATGCTTACTATTCTGAGTTGAGTATTTGGATAATATAACTGTGCAAATGGATACTTACATTTGATTCATGACCTTGTTCAAGAAAATGCCATCCACTAATTCAGTGTATTCAGAGAGCATGTTCCCCTCTTTGTCACCTAGTTGACCAAACGTCTTCACCTTTGGAACACAGATACATAAGAGAAATTAAAATCACATGTCATGAAGTGACAGCAGTGTGACATGCTCTTTAAACAACAATTTCCTAATTTAAACAAGCAGTTTTGTGGCATTTGTGAGACTGAGACATCATATTGAGAAACTACATGGAATATTCATACTTTTAAGCACTCAATGTAGGGTGATTTAAGGAAACTGCACAAATAGAATTATCAGTGAAGTCTGGGCTGGTCGCCACACTTCATTTGAGTGAATATTTCTTGTGGCAGGTTTATGACCTCTAATAAGGAGATCAGTGGTAGAGACATACTTTAAAGTCTTGGCTACATAAATATGCTCACCATTATATAGTTTATACTTTCTTGTGACAACATGCCCCAATCATGGGGAAAGCTGTTACAGTAAATGGAGTAAGCTGTCAGAATGGAACCTTCCACTGAACAGACTATTATAAGCTTTTTAGACAAATCTTTGTTTTGCCCAACAAACACTTGAGTTATATATTACCTTCATTATATAGTTATATATATGGTACGTCCCACATCAAATTAAATTTACAAAAGTGATTTTATATTCATAGAAAGCTTATTAAATGAAAGTAAAGAGTCTACTTTAATGTTCCAAATAAATTTTGTGAAAATAAAATGTCAAAATATGGGTAAAATAATGTTCCATCGTCATTCAGCGTAACAGACATATTTATGAAAAAATGAAACAACATACTTATTCTGACCTATACTTATTAAAATATTAATAGAAAAAAAAACTTTTATTTTTTTTGATGCTTGACAACCCCTTTTCGTCTTTGACCTACACACACACACACAATATTTGATCACATCCATTTTTTTGTCAGTCTATCAGTTTGTCAGTTGTCATGACAAACACACAGCTTGATCTTCCACGTAGATAATTGTTATGCTAGCTCAGATACTCTGACACACTGATACAATCTGATACAATGTTTGCTATGTTCTGCAGAATCTGCACGTAACAAACAGAAAAATTGCAACTTACCCAAGTGACAAGAGGGCTGCTCATGAACTGCTCTAATATGACTGGAATCTCACCCTCCATATTAATATTACACGATCAGAGAGATTGAAAGAAACACGCGTGGAAGAAACACATATAAAAACCATATAAATCCAGCACTGGTGGTTTACCCTTCTCCATAAGCAGCTGAACAGAGGAAATCCAGCTGCATCATTGAACAAGGAACAAATCTGCAGTTCACGGCGATGCGATGCGATGCAGGATTTCACATTCATGTAGCTCGTTCCTCGTCAACAAACTGGTATCTGTTATTAGATTGAAAATAAACGCAGAATGTTGCCTTTTAAATGTTCCATCAGTACTGCAGCATCCTCCGGCGCCGCTCACACATCACGCCGAAACTGCAGTGCGTGTGCAGGGTGCTCACTACTGGAGATCCATCCTCACTTACTAGTGCATGTGAAGCTTTAAAGTAAAACCACCAGCCATTACAACCCAAATAACACAGGATTTTAATAACTAAATGTAAACTTGAAACATGTAGGGCACTTTCGTGTTTCCTTCATCAAAGGGAAATATCCCAAAAAGATGTAAGGTCTAATTTAAAAAGTTTTAGTAGGTATTTATGTATTTTCCGTCCCACAGCATCCGCCAGATCTGGACAGCAGTAATTCCATGGCAACTGTGGTTTAGTACATCTCTGACCTTAATCTGTTACCATAACAACAGCCGTCAACCCCCCTCAATCACCAGTTAAAATATCATAACAGGCTTATTGAGTGCAATCTGCCCCGGTCTGTGCTTTAAATCGTCACCAATGAGGGATGAGTTGAATAATGACCATATCATTCTGCTGAGGGGTGGCCAACATTAAACTGTACTGGCAGAGCTATTCGTGTAATTTGGAAAGCGGGGAAACTAGTTAGTATGTGATATTAATATCTCATAACTTAGATAAAAAAAAATTTATATATATATATATATGACAATCTCCCTAAACATGTAATGTAAGGCTTTGGCGCCACCTTGCGGAAAAGTTAAGAACAAGAAATCCACTGGTGGCCTGCAGATTCTCGACTAAACCAGCAGTAGGCTATCTTGCACTAAAAAGTCACTGTAAGCGACGCTAACCGTTACAGAGCTTCCACCAGATTTTAGATTTTACCCACCGAATTACACACTCATACAAGCCTGAAGCTTTGGAGAAACCATGGTATTTCGATTTGACAGGCAGAAGCAAAACATTTGTTTTCGAGCGCTTTGAAACTCTCAGCTCCCCCAGCGATAAAAAGCTTTCTTCTTCTTCTTATTCCTCTTCCTCTTCTTCTTCTTCCTCTTCCTCTTCTTCTTCTTCTTCTTCTTCTTCTTTTTGTCGACATTTGTCTGTGTAAACTAATTGACTGATAACAAATCATGAACATTTCGCATCGGCACCCTCCTCACTAAAACTCATTTAAATAATGAATCTATCGCGCTCTTAGCTTCCGTTTTACCATATATGGACTGCCTGTTGTGAACGCGCAAAATGATTGATATATATTTGTGTAGGTGATATGTATTTTTGTAGATAGACTGTTTAGAAAGAGTAACCATTTGTCCAATGGATTTTCATGTGTTCTCTGAGATGGATGAGAAGAATGAAGGAATTCAGGCAATTTGTTATTGTTTTGCATGTGCTAAATAAATTCTTCCCCTAAGAGAGGCTTTAAATTGATTGGGTTTTGAGAGATGCTTGCTGACAGTCTGACACAAATTACTGAACAACAGTGAGAAATCAATGGGACATATGTTGCCTATTTACGACTGGTAGTCAATTTTTAATGAACTCTTTAATATTTAATTATAACAGTTGGTTAAGGTGCGATACATTTAATCACATCATAAATTGTGCATTCCATGTGAGAAAATCAGTATCTTATGTACATGGGGCTATGATTCAGTTCAATATATGACCCATGCTGCAGCAATCAGTTTTATTATATATGATTATATGTATACAGTATATCATAGATGCATTGTATCATAGGAGGTAGTCATCCAGAAAACAACAGCAGCTACAGTTTATGGCAGCAAACAGTATATAAGGCAAAGCATGCTAAAGCATCAGGCCACGAACTACTGAGAAATGCAACATATGTGGCCTGTATTATCAGCAATGACAGTTTAATAAAAACATTACTGTTCCATTAAAACAGTCAGTTAAAGGATGATATAAAGCTACATATAAAAGCTACTCAGCTACATTTAAAGGGTGTAAGCTTAAGTGAGTGTTCAGTAAGAAAAACAGTCTCTTCTTGTGTGTACGATTGTACATTAGCTACTTCAAGGCTGTGCATGCTGCATCATGTAAACATTTTATATATACACAGTGTCAGATGTGCCATAATAGCTAGTCAATCAGAAAGTAATGATAGCTACAGTATGAGGCCGCATATGTAATGAGCAAGTTTGTTGGTGTATATGCAGATTTTCCAAAATGTCTTTCAGTAAAAATGTGCTTGATTTTAAAAAAGGATGACTAATGAACATCTTGAGAAAAGTAATTCACACAATGATTATAAACTTTTGGCAATTTTTCCATGAGCATAGTCTCTGAATAATTTGGTTTAAAATGATAAGTCTAAATATTGGAGTAAATGATTTCCACAGTTCTCAGTTAATGGTACTGAGTGTTTCTTATCCAAACAAGCATGCATTATATAATGGTTTAGAGTATTTCTTTGAAAGTGCTGTACTGTAATTTTAAAAAGAAAGCATACACAAAAATCTTTTCCTTCACAGAAGTCCTTCAGAGCATTTGAAAATTCAACGGTAAGAGTCATGGCCGCAGATGTCCTTGGCTTATTGGTCCCGCTTCAGAGAGAAATTCGTGCTGCTCACTCATGCTCTCTGCTCTCTGGTTTTGTGTTTAGAGCTTGCAGTTTCTGCCTCCCATGTTGGCTCTCCTTTAGGGTCGTGCTGCCAGAGAGCAGGCTTATTGTGTAGGGTGAAAACCAGTCTCTTTCAAAAGCAGCAGTCAGCAGCTCTACAATCGAGTCCTGCCCTTCCCGCTGGTTCTCCGATTCTTGAATCACCAGCCCCGCTCCTGCATTGAAAGCCAACTCACTACCAACCCAGTCCAGATTCCCTTAAATGACAGAAAATTAGAATAGTAATGTACGATATGATAAATTGTGAAAGTGAAAGTGAAGTGACATGTGGCCAAGTATGGTGACCCATACTTGGAATTAGTGCTCTGCATTTATCCCATCCAAAGTGCACACACACAGCAGTGAACACACACACACCGTGAACACACACCCAGGGCAGTGGGCAGCCATTTTTGCTGTGGCGCCCGGGGAGCAGTTGGGGGTTCGGTGCCTTGCTCAAGGGCACCTCAGTCGTGGTACTGAAGGTGGGAGAGAGCGCTGTACATTCACTCCCCCCACCTACAATCCCTGCCGGTATGGCCTGTCCGACTCTCTAACCATTAGGCCACGACTTCCCCGTATAATACAGATGACAAAGAAAGACAAATGCCTCATTATGTATATTTATTGTTTATTTTAATATTACATTTAATAAAAAAAATGCAATAAAATATTGAGTTCATTTGATTTGTTAATACTTTTCCTTTTACACATTTGCACTACATTTATTTGCTTTTTTAAACTTATTTTGTACTGCTTTGGCAATACAAATATACAGCTTTTGTCAGGGCAGTGAACCACTCTAAATGAAGTGTGTGTGTGCAAGAGAGAGAGTCTTACCGATGTATGCTGTGTTGTCTGTCACCATAAATTTATTCTCATTTATCCTGTGCTGAAATCCTCCCATCTGCTCCTTGCCTTTGTAAAATCTCTGATTCAAAACAGAAACGCATATATAAAATATAACCTATATTGTAAAATAAATAAATGTGTGTGTGTGTGTGTGTGTGTGTGTGTAAACAGATCAATCAAATAGATTATTTCCGCACCGCTTCTATAGAGCAGAATGGCAGTCCTGTGCATATGGCCTGCATTGACGTCATAAAGTTAAAGGTCAGTGGATGTGTGCGTGTCCACAGACTGATTAAGAGACGAACTTTGACCTCTCTCAGTACTGCAGCCTCTCGGAGCATCTCGTCTATTGGTGACCAGTACCTGAAACAAAAAATATAACAAGCCAAATGAGTGTTGATGTAAGGAAGTAGCATACAGAGAAGTCATAAATCTTCAAAAGAGCAAATTTGTCCATTTATAAATAGCTCCAAAGATTTACACATCAAAAAATCTACTTTTTTTAATATCTTTGTCTTGTTTTTTTTTTTTTTAATTGAGTGATATCTCAATTAGATTTTTTTTTTCTTGGCAAGAGTTTTCACAAATAATTCAGTGAACATCAAGATAAACAGTCTTGTTTCAAGAGCAAGACTCAATTGAGTAAACTTGTAAAAATGGGTAAACTTGATTAAAATGTTACATTGCATATTCAAATTGAATGATCAGTTGATTAAATAAATCATCCAATTTTCTTAAGATGGCAAAAGCACATTATACATACAGTATACATAATGACAATTATAGAAGATTTTGAGATTTAATTATTTTTTTAAAAGCAAATTAAAAATGATTTTGAAAAAATAATTAAAAAATCAAGTTAATATTAAATAACACGTAAAAATAGAAAAATAAAAGCATAAAATATAGCATGCTTACTTGAGAAATATCTTAGCTTAACACTACACAAAATGTTAAAATGTGTTACAGGGCTTTCAAGTTTCAGTGATTTTTCAAATCATTTCAATGTGTTTTATTTTGAAATGTGTAAATCTGTTCATGTTTTTTCCCCCTTTTTTATTTGCAGTTTTTTGCTTGTTTTAACAATCCTCCCTAAATTGATTATTTCCTTTATTAACAGCCATTTTTAAATGCTGAAACATACAAATGGCCCTGTGCCTGTGAAAACCAGTATTACCGTATGATTGGTGATCCTCTGAAGCTGCGGTTGACTAAGGGCAGGTAATCAGTTACAGAAATGTAGATGAATCTCTTGGCTTCTCGGATCACATGTCGTATGGCATCTAAATCTCTACTTCTACCCTTGGGACAAAACAGCTCTGGTGATGTCTATGAAGAAACATTGGGGAACAAAATTTAAAACAGCAGTTTTCTTTTTAAAGTTTTTTTTCAGCTTCAATTCACATTGCCAGTACACCAGAGCGAGGTAATGAGATGGCCGTCTGTGTACATACATCATTGTCAGGAGAAGAATTTTATCACTGAGCTAGAAAAGTCTCCCAGCAGCCTATAACATTACAGCACAATTCATTTGAATGGGATGATGGATGTCTCAGATGTGTCGAGTAAACATCCTGTTGCTGGAAGGGAATCGAGATTCATTACACTCAAATTAGAATCCGATGGCGAGTGTCTTCACATGTGACGCAGCTTGACGTGGAACAGAGTCACCGGGATAAATTACCTGTCGAGTGAGTGAATTTACCGTAATCAAATTATATCCCATGGGAACCAATGAAAAAGCAGTTTACATAAAAAATCTTTGTAATAAGAACAGACATAGATGTAAACACATTTCAATGTGCATGAACTGGATAATCGATCATGACGTTTATGCAATAAAATGTCAAATGTATTAGTAATTACTGTAATTAAATACTTTTACACACACACACACACACACACACACACGTTTGTTTCTGTGAATTGTGGGGACTTTCAATAGACTTCTATTAATTTTATACTGATCAAACAATATTTTTCATCCCCTAACCCAACCCTAACCCTAAACCTACCCCTTACAGAAAACCTGTTTGCATTGTTACACTTTCAGATAAACATCATTTACTATTTTTACTTATAATATATATCATTTTATTTTCCCTTATGGCAAAATGTCCAAAATTTCAGGTTTTACTATCCTTGTGGGTCACCACAATGTAGCATAAATAAGT